GGGGCTTGATCTCGGCCTGGGCGCTGTCCCTCAGCTCTTCAGCTCAAGGCTAGTGCTCTACCACTTGAGCCACAGCACCACTTCCAGTTTTTTGGTGGTTTATTGGAGATAAGAGTCAAGGACTTTCTTGCTCAGGCTGGCTTCGAACTCAGATCTCAGCCTCTTGAGTACCTAGAATTACAGGTGTGAGCCACCGGTGCCTGGCTAGGTACATTCCCCACTCCCCACTATGGTACGTTTTTCTCTAGTGTACTTGCTTCATAGAAAAGGTGCTTTTCATCAAGATTTGTGGGAAACTTCACATACTGCTTAAAGCATATTAGATTTAGGAGAAAAGTCTGGTATTTGGTGTCTAGAGGGATTTTTATTTTAATTTTTGCCAGTCCTGGGGCTTGAACTCAGGGCCTGAGCACTGTCCTTGAGCTTCTTTTGCTCAAGACCAGCACTCTACCACTTGAGATCACTGCACCACTTCTGGCTTTTTTGTTGTTATTTGTTTATGTGGTACTGAGGAATCAAACCCAGGGCTTCATACATGCTTAAGGTAGAGCCTTAAGCCACATTCCCAGCCCTAGAGGGAATTCATAAGCCATCAGAAAGCTAGTAGGCTCATTTTTTTTGTCTTAAATTATTTTTTTTAAATAATTTTTTTATTGTGGTTAAGTGATTACATAGATTTCACAGTATTGTGAGATAGTGATACTTAGTTAAAATCACAAACACATTCTAACCTTCATAAGGCAAATAGTCATTATCGTGTTCTATAAGCTTTGTGAATTCTGTTTTTGTTTTTGTTTTTTGAGTCCGGTTGTGGGGCCTGAACTCTGGGCCTGGGTGCTGTCCCTCAACTCTTCAGCTCAAGGCTAGCGCTCTACCACTTGAGCCACAGCGCCACTTCCAGCTCTTTTCTTTTTGCTTATGTGGTGCTGAGAGGAATCAAACCCAGGGCCTCAGGCATGCAAGGCAAGCGCTCTACCACTGAGCCACCTTCCCAGCCCGCTTAGTTCATTTTCATCAATGTCCAGTGCAGCTGATGGGCCCCTCTGTTGTATGTTTTCCCATTTCCTTCTGATTCTGTGTCCTCCTAGCTTCCCTCAGATGTGTGCACATATATGTATATATGTCTATATATATATATGTAGTCAAAAACATGGGGTCATTTAGTAATGATAAAACAAAATGAGTGGAGGTCCTTTGTTTCCTGAGTCCTGTGGTATCTCCTTGCATTGTGGATTTAGCATCCACATATCAGGGACACCATGTGCCATTTATTTCTTTGCTCTCAGCTTATCTCACTCAAAATGATTTTTTCTAGTTCTATCTATTTCTCTGTGAGTATAAGAGGTTCATTTTCAACTTTGTGGAGTGCATTCTTTGCCAACTGGTAGACCAAAGACAGTGAAATAGAGGAGATTCATGTAAATTTATAATGACAGTAGCATGTGCTTAATGCTGTAGTAAAGGGGGCTAGGCAAGGTAGAATAGTGTTCTCAAGATGGCATACCTTGGAGGGTGTTGATAGTGGAGACTGGATTCCAGGAGATAGTGTCAAGAGTTGTCACTGTAATGAAAGAGGAATGAGATTTCTTTAGATGGGAGTATGGTAGTTTGAGCAGTTTTTGTTTTCAGTAACAGAATGAGAAAGTAAAATAATCAAGGTTTGGGATTGATTGATTTTATCATTATTGTTTTGTCAGTTTTAGGGCTTGAATTCAGGGCCTGGGCACTATCCCTGAGCAAATGAGCTCATTTGCTCAGGGATAGTGCCCTATTACTTTTTTTTCTTTTTTTCTTTGTCGGTCGTGGGGCTTGAACTCTGGGCCTAGAAGCTGTTCCTCAGCTCTTCAGCTCAAGGCTAGTGCTCTACCATTTGAGCCACAGCACCACTTCCAGTTTTCTGGTGGTTTATTGGAGATCAGAGTCTCACAGACTTTCCTGCCTGGGCTGGCTTTGAGCAGTGATCCTCAGATCTCAGCCTCCTGAGTAGCTAGGATTACAGGTGTGAGCCACCAGTGCCTGGTGTGCCCTACTACTTTGCACTGCAGCTCTACTTCCAGTTTTCTAGGGGTTAATTGGAGAAAAGTCGTAGGACTTTGCTGCCTAGGACTGGGTTTGAACCACAATCCTCAGATCTCAGCTCTTAAGTAGAATTACAGACATGAGCCACCAGCACCTGACAGGAAAAACATTCTTATATGAAAGACCTCATATAAGGCCAATTATAAACATGAACCTTTCTTCTTCTTTTTCTCCTCCTCCTCTGTTTCCCCCTCCTCCGTTTTTTTTTTGTGCTGATTCTGGGGCTTGAACTCCAGGCCTTGGTGCTGTCCATGAGCGTATGTGCTCAATGCTAATTCTCTACTATTTGAGCCACAGCTCTACTTCCAGAATTTTTGGTAGTTTAGTGGAGGTACGAGTTTCATAGACTTTCTTGCCCAGGCTCGCTTTGGACTGTGATCCTCAGATCACAGCCTCCTGAGTAGCTAGGATTGCAGGGCATGAGCCACCAGCACCTGGCTGAGGTTTAGGAATTTAAATGCCAATGAATTACTGAGGAACTTAGAGAAAATAATAAATGCAGAGGTATGTTACTGTTTGATAAATACTTATTTACCAGTGATTAAACATTTTTCAAAAGCTGACTAGCAAAGGAAGTAAGACAGGAATCACATTGAAGCTGACTGCAAATGAAAACTTTCCTTAGTTTTATCAAGAATTCAAGAGAGCAGTGTCCCTTTAATTAGTGAAAGTAATATTTTGAAGAGCCAATTCTAAAGCTTTCACTCTTGTTTCAGAAGTCAAGAAATGATGTTTTAAAAAATTTATGAAGCCGGGTGCCGGCGGCTCACACCTGTAATCCTAGTTACTCAGAAGGCTGAGATCTGAGAATTATGGTTCAAAGCCAGCCTGGACAGGAAAGTCGGTGAGACTCTTATCTCCAATAAACCACTAGAAAATGGGAAGTGGTGCTGTGGCTCAAGCGGTAGAGCGCTCAGTGCCGAGGCCCAGAGTTCAAGCCCCATGACCAACTAAAAAAGAAAAAAATTATGCTGGGTGCTTGGTGGGTCATACTTGTAATCCTAGCAATTCAGGAAGTGGAAATCTGAGAAATGAGATTAGAAGCCAACCTAAGCAGACAAATTTGAGAGACTCATCTCCAATTAACCAGCAAAAAGCAGAAATGGAAGCATAGCTCAAAAAGTTTCGTAATAGCTGAGTTTAGGTAATACTTCAGGTCACCTAATTCTTTGGTGGTGGTGTTGTTGTTTTGTGAATGTTTATTCTTTAAAAAATTATTATTATAAAGGGCCATCACCTAATTCTTAAATAACAGCATCCTGGCACTAGACTAGTTTTTCTTCTCCATAAAATAACTCCTTGACTTTAGCCAACCAATGAAAATGCTGCTGCTTTCCTGCATTTTTGTGTGTGTGTTGGTTCTAGGTACCAACTGAACTCAGCTGCTTGTCTTTTTTCTTCTTTTTAGTTGCTTGGCTTTCTTGCTCATGCCTGGTGCTCTACCACTTGAGCCATGCCTCCAGTCCTCCTTAAGGCATTTTATTTTATTTTATTTTATTT